TTTCCTTGAACGTATTCTTCATTTGGTCTGTTTTAGAGTGTATCGCCACCATGCTATTTATTATTTCAGTTTTGACTGCTTTTATTTCATTGTTATGGAAGCTGAAGTCATCGGCAAGTGCATTTTTCAGCTCGGACTTAATCATCCCTAAAATGTCCGCCTTTAAAGAAGGAGGTAAAGAATCTCCGATTTCAAGTCCATCGAGTCCATTTTCTCCGGGCTGACCAGAGGGGATGAGGTCACTCGTGAACGGGTGACGGTGGAACTCAAAGACAAGGCGGCTTTAGGCCCAGAACCAGATGCTGCGTCTTATTTGTATTTGCGTAGTTTGTCCGACATTTGCTTGTATTTCTACTATTTTCTTATTTTAGAAAAGCATTCGAAGCAGAGATCACACAGTGTTTTATTACAGAACGCTGATTTTATATCATATAGCAGGAGATCAGTGGCAGCTCGAACTAGACACGTCTTACTCCTTTGCCAGCAACTGGAAACCCCTAATAGTTTAAAATATATGTGAGACTTTTGGATATCACCAAGAGACCCCTGCTTGTTGTCTCGCGACCCCCACTTTGGTAACCACTGGCATAATACTTTAGCGTACTTTGTGATCATGCTTGGTCTTTCTTTGGTGCTGTTAAAACCTGTGGCTTTTTTATGAAATGGTAGTAAATCAAATTTTAATTTGTAAATTGCAATTGAATTTTTTTTTTCTCTAAATCATAACTCTGGCAAATGTTGATGTTGTTTCTATAATATTTCTTCCTTAAATGTGAGAGGATGCAGTCTTTAATCTTGCTTGATTGACGGTTGTGTTTTAATAAATGCCATCTGTTTATCAGTAGAAGTGAATCGGTTAAGGTGGCAGATTTAGCTGCATTTGATGTTCTGATTTCAGTGGAGCGGAGAGCGTTCTGATGAGACACAGAGAAATGAAGTGTGCATCTGTGAACAGCTGTCTGTGTGTGGGGTAAAACTGCCAGTCTGCGCCGCCTGTGTGGGAGTCTGGCACAGGTCTGAGAGAGGGGTAATACTTAATGCTATCATTGTTGAAGTTTGTGAAAGTTAAAGGAGTTGTCCAGGTTCATTCAAAGTGAAAGAACCACAGGTAGCTCAGTGCAGTCGAGTGATGAGAGATCACAGAAATGAAGTGTGTTGACAGCTGTGATCAGCCAGTTTAAGCGGGTTATGACGACAGATTCCTTGCTCTTGAAAATGTTTTTGGCTTGTTATTATGTTATTATTATTAAGATTCTAGAATGTGCAAAATAATAGATTTTTTTCTTGCTTTATTACAACCAAGGCTTATTCTGAAAACATACTGCCATATACATTTCTGGAGAGCACCAAATACGTCTCAGGAGATACGTTTTTTTGCAGTTTTTGTTTTCACGAATCAACCAGGCCGCTGTGTACGCTTTTTGAGATCTCAAATTTCTCAGGCAAGTGCCATTTGCTCCTGCTGTTCTCATGTAAAATCCCCAAAGGCCACTGTCAACTGACTGACTATCCAATCGACTAACCCATCCTCCTGCTTTCCTAAACCCAACCAATAGTGTTTTCAATAGCACAGAGTGACCCGCCCACCCCCTTCCCTAAACCCAACTGACAGTTTTAAAAAGTAATACAAAAAAAAAAGAAAAGCACGTGTCTGATTTTTTACAATTCACCAAACAAGAAATTATCTGCAAAACATAATTATATACTAAATAGAAATAAAAGTTAAAATACCACATACCTTTATATACATTAAAACATACACACATAAGATAACAAAAATACCATTTCTACTAATTATCAAAATTAAAATACTAAAACAAACAAGCAGTACAATAAAACTATCAGCCTATAATGAATTCAATTGAACAGATTCTGGCAGCAGAACTGCCTTAGTCCTTCGTGGCATCGATTCAACAAGGTACTCCAGGTATAGCAAGGTATAGCATCGCGCAGTTGGTGCAGATTTGTCAGCTGCACATCCATGATGTGAATCTCCTGTTCCACCACATCCCAAAGGTGCTCTATTGGATTAAGATCTGGTGACAGTAGAAGCCATTTGAGTACTGCGAACTCATTGTTATGTTCAAGAAACCAGACTGAGATGATTCATGCTTCATGAAATGTGATTAGCTAATTGGAATTTTGCAATTGGACTTAATAAATTGGCCAGTAAAGGTATATGTTCAAGTATAAAGTACTTGTTAAATATACTTCCATGCACATCCATCATTGGCCAGAACATCACACTCCCTCCACCAGCTTGTCGTCACCGCACAGTGCAGCATGATACTATCACATCCCTAAGTATCGCACACATACACTGCTGTCCACGTGGAAAGAAAGAAAACATGCATTGCTTTAAAGTCCAGTTCTGATGCGCACATGCAAATTAAGTGCTTTTGTGGTGGACTGGGGTCATCATATTGGCACCCTGACTGCTTTGCAGACATAGAGAGAGGTACTTTGTTGTGACAGATTCCTTCCATAACCATTACTTACATTTTGACTTGTGCCACTGCTGACCTGGAGAAACCCACAAACCTTTCTATTTCAGAGATGCTCTGACCTAGTTGCTCGATCTTCATTCCTGCATCTTTTTCTCCTTTCTGCTGTACCCAGCATGGTAATTATAAGAACTGGCTGTATAATAACTGCTTAATAGTTAATCTACAAAGAGCTGTAGCCTTGTTTATCAGATGACCAATTATATTTGATGTATTTGCAAAAGATCATGTTTTAGCTCATGTTGTTAAGGTTGGATTAATAGATCAGTTACATGCTTTTTTTAAACGAGATGTAGATGTTTTCTTGTGCTTTGTTTGTTTTCTGCAGTTAAGTTTAAAATAAAATCAGTTTAACTCTCTCTCTACACTTTAAAGGTTATTTTTTTCTAAGGTTTGTTTAATTTTTAGTTTCAAATTTGCAAAAGAGAGAGAGAGAGAGTGAAATGTATGATTACTTTTGTCGTAGGAAAAGCCAAAATGGCAATTTACATAGCAAGAAAATAAAGGATAGAGGGTGAAGTTTGTCGAGACATGGTGCAAGATTTTAAGAGTAAAATAAAGTGGTCCTCTACTAATCATTTTACCTCATGGATGTACAGAAAGGCCTTAGAGGCTATAGCAAAGCATTTAGCTATACAATTCAGTTGGGAAACAGACTGTCAACTAGAAGAGGGTGTCACAGACTGGAATAGAGTATGGCAGAACATTTTTACTTCATCTAAAAATCCCAATCCCCAACTCATTCGCTATATCTTTTGTCAAAGAACCTGTACTGGAATCTACTCAAAAGACATATCAACGCCTCCTTTAGTCTTCTCTGTGATAAATGTCTTGACCAGGAACTTGGATCTTTTTTTTTTCATATGATGTGGGAATGTGGAAAAGTACAAACATTTTGGACTGAGGTCTGTGTTATATTTTCTAAAATGATTGAATATCCTGTACTGGTGAATCCTTCCATTCTATTACTAAGCGATGATTCTACATTGAATCTTACCAAGCTACAAAAAGCTGTTGGCTGGCTGGCTTAACTTCGCATAATTTGGGCACATACAAGTGTTGGTACAACTTCAGTACTTTATAATGTTAGAATTATCCACAGCTCGGGTGAACTTGGTACAAAAAAGCATTAAAGATCTGATCATCAGCTGCTGACAAAATCTCCATGTTTATTGCACAAAACGATGATCAGGATCCAGAATGATTGCAATATTTTGTATAATTGATACTTGATGCTATACTTTGTTTAGTTTTTTTCTATTATCTTCTATTCATTGGATATTGCAGTTTAAAGAGACTGCAGGGGTGGGGGTGGGGGTAAATTAATTGATATTTTTCATTATATTGTTTATTCAGCCTGTATGCTTTAACAATGAAAAAATATTTAATTAGAGTGAGAATTAATTTGGATTTATTTTTTTTAGAAGAATGTCAAGAATATTGATTAATTTGAAAATGTGTGGATTTATAAAGATAGGTTGTGCTCTGTTAAAGATAGAGAACTAGTATATATAAAATGGCTTAAGTAAAGCGTACTTAACTGTGGTATTTTAAATATGGTATAAAATGAAAAATAAAAACATTTAAAAATATTTTTTTAAAAGTCAATAAAAATCTAATCTTTATACACTCAAAAAATGGCTGTTGTTTGTTCCAACTACTTATACACTTAAAAAATGGTTGCCTTATTTTTAAGCTGAATCAAATTAACTTAGAGTCCATTGAACTTAAATTATGTTAAACTGACTTAAAACTGCTTGCATAACTTACTCAATTAGGTTAGAGCATGATTAACTTTAATACAATGACATGGACTGATTGGTCAATTTTTTAATTAATTTGATTAATTTGGTTTTATTTAATTTGGTTAATTTGATTTTCCAGTGATGGGTTGCGCCTGGAAGGGCATCCGCTGTGTAAAACATATGCTGGATAAGTTGGTGGTTCATTCCACAGTGACGACTCTATATTAATAAAGGGACTAAAAGGGCCTAAAAGAAAATTAATGAATGGTTCATTTGATTCAGCTTAAAAATTTAAGGCAACCAGTATTATTTTACAGTAGCCTAAGTTAACCTAATTTCTTCATGCTGTCCCAACGCAAATGGATTGTATGGAACCCAGCATTTTTTTATGTGTGTATAGTGAAAACATAATGCATGTAATACTAATTATAATTACGTAATGACGGATTAAAACAAGCAGTCAAATAAATTGAAGACGCCAAATATATAATGGCTTCTTAAGTGATGAAATTTATAACACTTGCTAATTGAGCTTCTGATGTATTAACTCCGTTTTGCCATTGCTTTTCCACTATAAGACAACTTCTTATGAAACGATCTCTATGCGTGACTTTCAATTTTGTAGATGGCGAGAAAAGTGCTCAGTCGTCCACTAATTGCACATTCATTCAGAGTAATTAAACCGGACCGTCGAGTCCTGAGAGATGCCTTACAGATAAACGCTGGCTGGCCACCACCCTTGCTACCAGTGGCCGCGCGCCAGAGCGCAGCTGCATGAAGCAGACCGACAGACAGCCGGTGGATCCGCGCGCGGTGTTTGGTATGCGGCTGGTTGCGGCCAGTGACGACTCTCTCTCTCTCTCTCTCTCTCTCTCTCTCTCTCTCTCTCTCTCTCTCTCTCTCTCTCTCTCTCTCAGCGCTTCAGTCTGTATGAGCAACATCCTCGTCCTACCACGGGCTCGCGTTCTTGAGGAATTCGTCATCAATGAAAGTGAAGGAAGACTAAACGGGAGAGGAGAAACGCCAGAATGCCGGCGGGTCAGAGGAGACAGACGACTCCTTAATGGGTGAGTTAATCATAAACAACATTTATTGTGTTTTACGTGCGAGAAAACACTTGTAGCTGTGAACGTTCACTTGATTTGTTTAAGATATTAGATAGCACTGTGAAGCATCACGTTTTTCTTTAAAACATATGATGTGTTGTTTTTCCTGTGCATCTTTTTTCAACATATTTTGCTTACATATTGTGTAGAAAGTCTATAAGTAGTATACATCTAATTTACGTGAGCACAGTTAACTTATATCTGGAAATGAGTGCAAGTTGGAAAAGTGGACGAGTTTAAAAATGTTTAACTGTAAGGCATTTTAAGTGATTGCTAATTTTGTTTGGCGATGATCCTGTGCGCAGGTTAAGACAATGCGTCTTTCTATTAAAGCGTATGTAAATTCTGGTGTTCTGGCTGTTGTTGTTGTTGTTGAAGACGAACCTCAAAGGTTGAATGAAAATGCGCTGTATGTGTAACAGAACTTCGGTGTTTCTTCTGCGCATCGCTCCATGCCCATTACGCGTCTTATTAATGAAGTGAAAAACACGTTGGATCAAACATTTGTCATGACCTTACACGAGTCCTTCCCCAGTTATTCATAATTCACTGCCAGTGTCAAAGAGTGTGAAATGAATCCTCTTCCAGTGGCATTTCAGTGTGGCGTCTTTCTCCAAGAAATCCAGTTTTTTGTGCCAGATTCAGTGATATGTAGAGACAGATTTATGAGAACGGGTCACGTTCAATGTAGTGGCTGAAGTATATTTGCCTTGAGCTAATTAAAACCGATGATTAATTGATGAAGTCAGTATAATAAGTGGGATTTCTACGAGCCTGGCGGTGGATTTACGACTGCTGGTTTCGTGTGGTGACATTTTGCGATGTGTCCAGCTTCCCGTCCGCCGCTTGGGTTATGCGTAACGGCGACTTGGAGAGGCGCGCGCTCGCGAGATAGAGTGAGGACACACGTACAGGTCCGAAAAGTGGACGCTGTAATAAGATGAAATGACGCAATACGCTGACATCATCCATGCGCAAAATTGCATGCGTAATTGTCTCACATTTAGCGTCATTCACAAATTTAATTAAGTCTGCTTTTTGCCAATGAAAGTGAGTTAAGAGTATCCAATTGCTTTATAGAAAAAGGTTTATTGTGTTGTGCCACGTTTGGTGTCCTTCAGGAATGACATTGTCTGCTTTTTAAGTATGAAAGACAGTATTGGGTTGCTTTAAATAAAGGTGTGGTTGTTTTTTTGATGCCGATGTTGCTTTATATTTTGCTTTCTTAAGGCGCTCATGAAAGTTGCTGGGGTGAAATTAATTACTGTTTTAATCCACCTTTTCATTGTTCAAATCAGGCGGTGCCATGGGCTGATTTGTTACCAATTTATGCAACAGAGTTGTATAGCCGAAAGTGGTGACTCACCCAAAAATGAGAATCTGCGGTTAATTCAGCCCTCCTCAGGCCATCCGAGATATAGGTGACTTTCTTTCTTTACTACATTGAAGAAAAAATTGAGGCAAGTCAAAAGCTACTAAGACTTTGATAGTTACTTATAGTAACATATGAATAAGCAAGGATAAACTAAATTAACATGTTAGATGTTTCATAAGATGTCAGTATAATTTCAAAAGACTGACTTTGATTTTGTTTTGGATGTTTATTTTTTATTTTTTTATTGTTAACATATTATTTATTAATTTAATTTAAATTATTTAAATTTAAATTTATTAATTTATTAATTTTTTAGTCTGCTGTTTTAGAAATGCTGTATTTGGTAATAAAAATAATAAAAATAATGACAATAGCAGCAGCAACAACAACAATAATAATACTGCGAAGAAGATTTATTATTAATTAATAAAATTATTATTATCAGTATTATTATTATTATTATTAATATTATTCATGTTATTATTAAGAATGAATAATAATAAAAAATATTATTATCATTATTATTATTTAAAAAAAATTCAGCTCAGTCCCTTTATTAATCTGGGGTCGCCATAGCGGAATGAACTGCCAACTTATCCAGCATATGTTTTACGCACCGAATGCCCTTCCAGCTGCAACCCATTTCAGGGAAACACCCATAAACACTCATTCACACACAGACTCTACAGACAATTTAGCCAACGCATGTCTTTGGACTTGTGAGGGAAACTGGAGCACCAAGAGGAAACCCACCTGAATGTGGGGAGAACATGCAAACTCCACACAGAAATGCCAACTGACCGAGCCAAGGCTCAAACCAGCGACCTTCTTGATGTGAGGCGATAGCACTACCTACTGCGCCACCGCATTGCCCACATTGTTAATATTATAAATATCATAATAATAATAATAATAATGAAAATAATGTTAATAATAATAATAACAATAATTATTAGTATATTTATTATTGTTTGTGTTATTATTCATATTTAATATTAATAACAATTATTATTAGTATTATTATGATTATTATTATTATTATTATTATTATTATTATTATTATTATTATTATATAATTGAAACAACTGACAATGCCAAAATCTAATTCTTGGAAGTCGCACATTCAGCACTTATCAATCTGTGATGACTTTTGCTTCTGAAAGCAACTCTAGTGTGAAAAGAGTTGATTGAAAATGATCCACAGGGGGTGTTTGTGAATAATATATTTCTCTGGATGTGATTTATGTTTTTGTTTTTCACTTAGCAGGGAAGCACTTATTCCCTGTCATTTATATCTTAGCTGTTCTGGAATCATCTTTCATCATTCTCCTTCTGATATCATTAAGCTATGCATTGAAGTGGACAACTGATCTAGAGTCAACACCCTGGAGAGAAATTGATGATGTGAGGCTGTGCTGGAGTGTGTTTTGCTGTTCTGGGCTTCGGTTTCATGTTTAATGTTCTGATTCTCTGTGGGGTTTGTCTCATAAATATGAATTGGCTGCCTGGTTCAGGCATTAGGGCTTTGTTGGTGTGGCTCTAGACTGCCTTTCGTCAGTGTTCTGTCAAGTCTGATTGTACCCTGTGGGACTGGCTCACCACCATGAATGAAACACAGTGGTTTGTAGTAGTTTTCTCAGGATTGTGAGTTGCTTTTTTTTGCTACTTTAGTCGGAATAACCATTTGTTTTGGTTCATTTAGTATGTTTGTTGGCACATCTTTTGGAATGTGTGTTTTTACTAACAACCAGCACGCATAGATGGCAGGATAAAGAACGTCAATAATCTTAAGCCGTTGACCTGACCTGCTCCTGTTTAAATTCGTCGCTGGTATGACAAACACGTGTATTAGAAGATCCTTCTTTTAATCATGTCGTGTTCTTTAATTGTTTTATGCTAAGCTAGAACTGCCCAAGCAGGCAACATGTGCTTGTGTGTGTGTGTGTGTGTTGCAGGGAAGCTGTTGTGTTCATTCACAGGGGAAAAATTCCCTTTCTGCCTGTCTGCCTTTTTCCTCTCTGTCGGTCTTTCGCATCCCCCACATCTCATCTGATCTTGTCTTGGTGTTCTCTCGTACCCGTGTCCCAGGATTACAGCCCCGGAGACCAGCTTCAGAAACATCCCACCTGTCACAGTTTTCCCCCCTGGGGACTGAAGACATCCCAGGTCCAGTGGCAAAGTGTGAGGGAGTTTCTCTGACCATCTCCCCTGAGTCTGTCTTTTCTTTGTTGTCAAGATAGCCTGTATGGTACCTTTATTCTCTGGACAGACGAATCCCACAAAATGGCCATTTGACATTCTGAGGGGTCACACCTGTCACTTTTACTAAACCTTACATTCATTCCTTTTTCTTCAGCTTAGTTCCTTATTGATCAGGGGTTGCCACAGCGGAATGAACCGCCAACTATTCCAGCATATGTTTTACGCAGCGGAAGCCATTCCAGATGCAACCTAGTACTGGGAAACACCCATACACTCTTTCACATTCACGTGCACACTCTTACATGGCCAGTTTTTTCTCACGATGCTGTCCAAACCGATACAGCACAGCTGTGGGTTTGCAGCAAGCATTTTGTCGGGAGAGCTGTATGAGAATGGCGGACTTTGTCTTTTATCAGTTGAGTTCGTTACCATTCAGACACATCACCTATATCCGTGCTGCTGTGTTTGCCTACTTTTAAAATCCTCCAGATTATCAGCAGGGCAAGTGTTTGAAATAGACAGGGCAAGAGACATGCTGCACTGCTATCCAATGTATCTCCATTCAGACCCAGGGATTGAGGAGGAGAGAAGTCCTCCTCATTTATAATGTTTATATAAACATTATTATTATCCTTATAATAATATAACAAATTGTGGTTTTGTGTATATGAAATTACGAATAACAAATGTAGCAGGACATCAAATTACTTACTGTTTTTTTCTTTGCACTTTATCTTTGTAAACTATAAAATCATGCGTCTCCTCCGAGGTAGACTTGAACCGAAAGAGGGGGGTTTCATAGCTCTTTAATGCAGAGAGGACATTTAATTGATCAAATGTGACAGTAAAGACTTCACAATGAAAAGGTAATTCAAATAAATTCAGTTCGTTTAAACCTATGACACATTCTTCAACAATATTGTAGGTGCAACAGATGCTTGTCTTCAGAAACTATTTTTGTTATGCTGGTTGAAAGTCACATACTGATAGATATCATTGGTAACACTTTATGATAACTACACACTATAAAGCATTCATTAAGCATTAGCAAATAGTGAATTCAATATTTATTAAGTATTAACTCTACATTAATAAACGTTAATTAGCGTTTTAAAAATACAGATGCAAATGCTGTGTTGACTTACGCGCATTTATAATGTGGTTAATGATTGTTTTCATACTTTTTTAATGAATATTTTTCATTACCAAAAAATGTATTACATTATTCACAATCAGTTAATTAAGAATAGTTGCTGCTATTTTAAGATCATTCAGCTTAATGCATAAGTAAATGAATAATAAACTATTCAAATCAACATTTTAATATTTTATTATTCAGGCATATAGTAATGGTTACTATGTGTGTTAAGTGCTTAAGTGCTTT